ACAGGTGATAGACATGGTGGCAACGATGCGCGACCAAACTTTTAACTGGTCGTACGACGTGCCAGAAAGACGGCCGAACCGGACCAGTCAGTCACTGCGGCATGTGCATTCAAGTGTGGCTGTGATTGGCCGGTGTATGATCGGGTTCGGCGTCTTCTTGGCACGTCATCCGACCAGTCAGACGTTTGGTCGCGCATGGGTATATACACGAACTCATCTCTGTTACGTCAAGGCGTGGTGGTGGCGCGACGGACGCACTCCCGGTCCGGGGCTGTGGGCGGAAGTGCCCATCTGAGACGTGTATTCCTGCGTTGTTTTGAAAGGAACCAGACAAAAACCTGCCTTCTTGTCAAAATGCTGCGACTGGGGCTGTACCAAAAGGGTCGAGAAAGGTTTGAAGGTCAGTTTTCATGCGCTCGGTTTGTCCGAGAACGTGGATATGTGCCGTGAAAAGGGAAAACCAGACGCTGTCGGACCACGATTGCTTGGGCGGGAAGCATTTTGGGTTGAATTCACGGATACTTCTCGCCATCAGATTTATTTGTTTTGTTCCAAAATGAACGCCGAAAAACCGTCAAGTTCTACGGACTACCTGCGGACTACGTTTAGTGCGTCTCCAAGTTCAAACGGTCGCCCGATCATTCGAACTGTCGTCTGCTCTTTTAAACGTTCCTGCTTGTCGTCTGCTCTTTTAGAGGACACCGGCCCGTAGACCAAACGTGGGCCCGGTACTTGCGATAAGAAGTAAGTGCAGGCCTCAAAAGACTTAAGTTTGAAGGTTGGTAAGCAGGCTCGACGTAAACAGTAGATACAAGGAGATGTTGATCATTGTTACCAGTGGCCATCACCGACTTGTTATGCCTGATTCACTTGGTTAGATTCTGCTTGCGATTTTAGTATCGACGTCGACCATCTCAGCTACGGTTCACGCTTTTGCAGTCCGTGCGACGTCGTTACTGAAAATCGCGAGCGAAATCTCATCATGTGATCAGGCTTTAGCGTACATTCTGCGACGTCCACGCGGAATGAATCGCCGCATGTCAGATTATTCACGCAAAATTTTGCGGTGTAACGAGCCTCGTTCATTTCGCTGATGCCGCTCAACTAGTCAGACATCGTTAGGAGGACGTAGAATCAACAATTCCAACGCGAAAAAGAGCGCGGGGACTCACACCGACGCCGACAACATCGGATTTCAATGGTTTGTTTATGGGCGACGGCGAGCTTCTTGCTCACACCCCACATCGCGCATGCGCGGCGCCGGTGGCGTCCGCTAGGGGCGCTCTGGGCGCTCCGGTTCGTTTGTAAACATGAGTTGGTGTATATGACCATTCAGCGCTCCCAGTGGTTGTCACCTCTTGGGTTCAATGAACAAACACCTGCGAGGACATCATTGCGAGGTCATCAAAAGAAGAACAGCTTTCTAGGCTTGGGTGTGTGGCAATTCTGTAAAGAATGGTTTCAGCAGTTCATGGACTGGAGCGGCTGCCAAACAGATGATGCAAGAGCATTCGGCTACGCAGGGAGTCTGTTGAGAAGGTGAACATATATACCGACCTGTAAGGGCCAAGTATCTGCAGCAAGCAGTAAATACCTTTTAAATAAGTATGGTATGTTATAGTATGGTATGGTACACCTTACCTTCCTTTGCCGTAATGAAGAAGAGTAATTAGACGCAGTCTTAATCAAATCCGAATAAAGGCAACTAGTATGCTTTCATCTTAGTGTTCACGAAAAGCAAATGGTAATACGACTATTACTGTGGATATTGTGAACGCCCGGCAACCAATTTTCCATGCACTTCAGTGCGAAAGAGCGATTCTGCACAACTCTTCACCTTCCACAAACATTCGCTCCATTGAGAACACTCGGCCATTCCCGCGTCCTACGTGACGACACAGATATCAGGACGTAAGAAGGCGGGTGACGTCATGAACGGAGCACCCGCAATAATGCTTCGTTCTCATCGAAAACGGGATTCCGCGCATGCGCAATGTTTACAGTTCTGTTCCGCCTGGCAGGTGCGGTTGTTTGTAAACACTGAGGTGTCACTGCACATGCTCAGAGTAACTTCTTTTTTTGAAGATCAAGGTATTTGCGCATTGCCCCATAGCCAGAGCCAACCAGGTTCCCAATTGGTGGAAGGAATATGCACACTCGTCAGAAATTGTGTGAACCACCGCTAAAACAATCAGCTAATAAAAGCAAAAACAAAGCCGCGCTTTTTTCTTTTTTTCAAACCAGAACGTACGCAAGCTTGTACTTTCCGAGCCTTCGAAATGATGAATAACGACGCCATGTGTGATGCGAAAACATAAACAAAATATCCCGCCGCACGTATTAAATTGCCAGATAAAACCAAATGTTGAATAAGAAGAAAAAAAAAAGCCCCCCCCCCCCCCCCCCCCCCCCCCCGGCTCGTTAACTCTCTTGCTAAACTATCGGCTTCTAATATGTCTCTTATCCGTTCGTTCCCGGGATTTCCAGTTCGATCCGTTGTCAGCGTCGCGAGGAGGACGACTCTTCAAGGTTTTTCCTTGTTGACACAAAAGAGGGGTAGCTTCGATATCCGGACGCGGGAACATTTAGAAATGGAGATTCAAAGGGTTTAGCAGAAGACGTAAAAAACGGGCACTATTCCACGCGAACAGAGGCAGCAACGTTCACATCCGGGTACGCTTGTTAACCTAAAAGTGTCTTCTAGATCTTCAGTCACCGACAACTAAGCGATTGCAGGCGTCTGCGTTCGAACGAATTTGCCGAGTGCGATGGAGACAAAGGCAGATAACGTTACTCTAGGCACTAATTATTCCAACCAGAGCTCGATATTCTGAAGTCCCCCCCCCCCCCCCCCCCCCCCCCCCCGCGCGCTCGTGTCTGGCTCTCCCCCAGTTTCCGCCCGCAAAGAAAAACTGGAGTTTTCATTACTAATTTACTATACAGAGAGAGACCCAGGGTATTTGTCTGTTTACAGGGTTGCTGGTTTTATAATGCAAATAATAAAAAAAAAGGAATCATTGTGAAAGCCTTCTTCCAGAGGTATTCATTGAGAGAGAATATTAGTTAATGCCACGATTACTTCCGGAATTAGATTGTAATACAGCTCAATAAGATGAACTACAACTAGTCCTAAGAAAGCAAACAGTCAAACAATTTTCCAGATGGCCTGAATATGATACGTAAATTGCAAGAAAGCCATACTCATCGCAATAATCTTCACGTATTGCTAATGGCTTCCTCCGACGAAGCAATGAAGATTTTTCGCTGGTGTTGTGGAACCGCTAGACAAGCTGACGGAAAAGTTCTGGCGAAAATGGTATACACACAAATAAATCAGAATATGATGAACATATTGAAAACAAAACAAGCGACATCTGCGTCTGAACGAATATAAGGCAATAGTTTGTTTTCACTGACGTAATTTCGTCCACCATTTTGTTGTTGTGAGCTGTCTGGGTGTGACAGACTCGAGCATTCCAAGGATTTACATGCCCCCTCAAATGCGTAGAGGACCGCTGACATCATCTCAATTGGTTACGATGTAATCCTTCAATGTAGTAAATTTGTTTGAAAAAACAAACTAGCAACAGAATGGCCAATTGACGTCATGTGCAAACAACCTATATTACGCGAATCCGCAGCGACGAATAACAAAACAAAAATGCATACCGAGTAGTAGTGCTACTAGGGAACGCGAAAACGAAGCACATGCTCGTCTAAACGTGAGAACTAGAGAGGCCAGAAATGTCAACATCATAATCACGTAGTTGGGCCTACCTCTGTGACGTCGATGAGCTCGAAGGAAGATGCGACGTCAGTGGACGGCGTAGTAGCGGGCGAGGACGAGCCCGCGCAGTGGGCGGCGTCGGACATGAACCGTTTCGCTAGGGACGTCGGACTCATATCATCCTCGCCACTGGAGTCAGCGTCGTGAACCCTCCTTTTCTTTCTAGAGGACGAAGACGGCGACGCCGAACTACGATCTCTCGAAGTGGTACCGTTGCTGCCAGACCCAGTCCCCGATGGCGGAGGACTGTTGGTGCTGGTGAGGGGACTTAGCTGCGCCATCGATATCTCAAATCTTCCCAGAATGCAACTTTCTTCTGGAACACAGATCGACTTAAACTTGCGGTTCTTGATTGGGGATCAGCACGGAGTACGAAACGAGGTCTCTTGAAGTCGGATGATGAGTGCGCTACCAATTCCGTGACAGTGGTCCCCAAGGTTCCAGAAGGTCCAGGACAGATGAAGATGTTAAACCCGATGGGTTGGGCCTGGGTTGGACCACTTTTTTGTCGGCATGATGTAGAACGACTTGGAATTCGAGTTCTGGTTGCATCGCATCGGCTACGTGAAGTGCCGTACCGAACGTTCGAGATCCTTAAAAATTGCAGACGACGGTAGGACAGACGTCGACGTCTTCGTCAAGGATGCCGGATGCCGGGCACGCAAAAAGTTAGATTGCAATATATTCAGCAGTGCACTCACGTAGAATATGGGTGATTCACCTTGCAGATGCACTGGATTGTTGTTTGTGTGTCTGTCTTGACGCCTTTGATGAAGGGTACCGTTGCTGAAGACACAAGCACGCACACACACACTCACACCACTTTCGCGCGCAAAGATGGCGGCTGGCGTCTCAGAAAAAACAACAACAACAAAAACAACCAGAAAATAGCAGACGTCGAGAAGAGCCGCTGGGGCAATCGGCCGCCCGAAGCCCTTTTTTTGCGTCGGGAGCACGCAGCGCGAGTTTGTCCGCAGAGCAAAGCGCCGAAACGAACACCAACGCCACGGGCGTTTTCACCTGAAGGCAATGGAATCGGTTATCTCTCCAGGGTAGAAAGAGGGCGAGGAGGGCTGCCTGCCCAGGTAAGAGAGTAGAGTGGAAAGGGGACGATCTACGTGAGAGAGAGATCGAGAGAGGATCACGTTGTTGGGGCCAACGAGAAAAGAAGAAAAAAGAAAAATCTCTCGAGAATCTCCTCGACGTCCTCCGTAGGAGTGGCCTGCTTGGTGGCTGTTTCAAAGCAGGAAGCTACAAGTTCACCTGAAAGATTCTCTCCTCCTCCTCCTCCTCCCATTTATTTTGTTCGTGCGTAGTCTTTTGTTAATCTTTGTCTCAGGGGGGGAGTGGAGGGCGAGGGCGAGCCGTGCTTGGTCGCGAAGGTAGTCTGGGCCGTCGAGTGGAAAGGGAAAGCCAGGTAGGTATCTCGACCTTCAAACTGGAATGGGCGGTTTTGGACGGGCCTGCCTTCCCTAACGCGTTTACCTTCTCCCTCCGACAGGGGTGCCCACTTTCACGAGAAAAGGTTTCGACACCCTCTCTGCTTCCCCCCTTTCCTCCCCCCTCCCCTCGTTCCACGCTTCCACCGTACTTCTTGGGATGCCAAGGCGGCGAAGCAGGAATCCCGGTGAAGCTCCCTCCTCAAGCAGGCCTGCTTGCTCGCTTGATGCTCCTTCTAGTTGGACGTCCTCGCGCAAACGTTGTTTCTCGTTTGGCCTTTTCAAAAGGCACACGGTCACCTTTCTTCTGTGATCTTCGAGCTTTCTCTCTGCCTCTGGTGGGGTGCACTGCTCTGGACGGGAGGGGCGTTTTCGTGTCCTCCTCCTCGGCTCAGCTTCTGCCATCTCTGAGGGGTGAAGGGGTAGGGAACGGTTGTGACACGAGGTGGCACGCGCGACGGTGACGTAACGTTCACGATGGCCTGCGTTACGTCAACTAGATTGTCGGTACTCTTGACCTCGTGAATGCCTCTGGTTGATTGAACGCGCGGTATCGTGCGGGGAACGCCACATAAGCAAAGGCAGATGGGTGTCGTGTCCAGAACTTACTGACACTCTTATTGAAGATGTCGGCGCTGGGATATGTACAGTACTCCCTCCGAGGCTGCGCTTTGTTTTCCGTCTAGTAATATCTTGTTGTTGATGTTTTATTTTCCTCACTACATTTATGGCTTGGTACGTCGTTTTCGTTAATGTTCTAAAGTGACCGAAACCGTAGGATATGGACAACGGAACAAGGAAAGAAGCGATTGCACCTGATTTATTATCGTTTGTCCGTGTCCTTTTTATATTGTTTCCCTGTTACTTGTTGTTTTTTTTCATTCCATCTATGAAGTGGAACAACGAGCAATTTAAATTAATTTTTGTTCTTAATGACGTTTACAGCATTTCAGGCTTAATGATGTTTCACCATTTTCATCACAACAGCATTCCTCTCTCGAAAAAATAAGTCATTCCTTGTCTCAATTTGGAGGTGAAACAATAGCACACTTCTAAGCGAGTGTCCCCTTCTCATTGAAAAACGCACAACTGATCTAGAAAAGGCGACATCTTTTTATTGCATGCAGATATGCAGATGACGTTACCATAACAACGTACTCGAGTTATCACTCTAAAAGAAGTTTGTGCGTCTACTTTCGCGCACAACACTCGGAGAGCCAATCACCGCAACTTAAGGAGGCAGAGCAGCGAATGAAACTGCCCAAACTTGTGTTTAGACCAAAAAAAAAAAAAAAAAAAAAAAACAGGTCTGGGTTGTGACATTACGCAATGCAAAACGTCACGCTTGCATTGCTTAATGTCACAACTCAGACGGCGTTTTTTCGTCTAAACATATGTTTCGGCAGTTTCATCCGCTGCGCTGCCTCCATCAGTTGCGGTGAGTGGCTCTCTGAGTGTTGTGCGGGAAAGCAGACGCACGGGCTTTTATTAGAGTGTAGGGTCCCTTAGCGAAAACTAATACGTTTGAAATATACCACATTCTAATTTGAGTGTATTTGAAATACAATTCATAATTGTAAGTACACGAAAAATATACCGAAAATATAAACTTCTTTTTTGTTACTTTGTACTAAAATATACTTCTAAAAATCATTTTAAAATACCTTTACTTAAACTACATTTGAAGTTCCCTTCATGCGTTTTGAAATATGTAAATACTAAATTAATAGGCACAAAATACCTTTCACATATATTTCTTGAAATATTTATTTAATTCATGCAAAATATACTCCAACCCTAAAAAAATGGAGCAATCAAGAATACGTGCAGAATACTCTTAAAATACCTGAAAATTGTAAATACTGTTGTGATATACTTTAAGTACCTTTTGACTGCAATACTTTGGTAATTTGACTTAAACTACCAAAATATTGAAAAGCTCCCCTTCTAGAAGTTCACGTTAAGCAGATATGGAGTACACTGAAGCGCCTAAATACAACATTTGATTAGTTTGTCAACTGAATTGCGCAGCATCGCACTGATAAATCAGCCCAGTTTATGTTATTTTTTCCATTTTTCTATCAAGAACACACCTGATCAGTTCCTTGCACACCAATCCCAAACGGGGTTCGGGAACTACAACCACAACATTTGCTGATGCTGGAAAGCTTCAGCAGGTGCTGTGAGCAGGTACGTTTGGCGTGGTTTTGTTAGCACAATGTTAGTTCGCTGAACGTGTATGTTCACCATTGTACGTGATGTGAATAGCGACTTTAATATAGTGACATTAACTACCATATTAAATAGTTTACTACTAAAAAGGAAAGGCAAAATAACTACTGTAAAATACTTATTTTTCGCTGGCTCAATATTTCGCGATTTAGGTCAAAGTTGGAGTTTTGGAATAATTCGTAAATTCTAATTTTCGCGACGTGCTGGGATCGCAATATAGATTTTAATGTCTTTACATTTTGCCGTAATTGTTCACGAGACCTATTTTTCGGAATTGTAGGCGATTCGCGAACTTTGCGAGAATTAGGTCCTCACGAAAATAAAGTCGTCTACAGTATTTTAAAGTGAAGAAACTGCCTTGATTCGCTTCGTCCTGAGTGGTGCTACGCAGAGAAGCAACATGTATTTTATGAGCCGTTTGTGTGGATATTGTTTTAGGGACTGCGCCGAATTGTTAATAGTTGTACCAATGCTTTTTAGTAAGAGATATCGTCCACGAACTTCAGAACACTGTTTCCCCTTTGACAAACTCCTGAGGAGAAGATCGAATACTTGGAACCTTAATAAGCGCAGAGGTGGTCACCGAAAAAATGATTACCTTCATTATGTAGGCTATATAAGGCTCTAGAGCAGTCAACGGGACTGTGAATGAGCTGTTCAGTGCGTCATGGTGTCTGTGTTTGTGTTCGTTTCTAATGTAGCTTTGTGAGATGTATTTAGTAGTGCCTTCAAACACCACAGTAACACCATTTGCTGCCAAAATCGAAAATAAAAAAAAATTGTGTAACCGGTTTTAATGCACAAATGGCATCTTGATTGTGAAGGGATAATGTTTTTGGTATATCTAAAATGTTTTTTCATTCATATTTATAACGTATTTCGGATACCTTTACACGCGTATTTCGAGTGCGGCCAAAATAATACAGAATAAATACAAAATGAATATTCGTATTCAATATATTTCAACTTCGTTTGAAGTACGGTCTCTTTTTGCTAAGGGGTGCGTCAGGTGATTTTCCTCTGAGGTTGATGCCAACGCGTATCGTCAATTAAGACACCCTAAGTCAAGTCATCAGTTCAAGCCCGTAGTCCACATTCGCGAGAGACGGAACAAAAAATTAGCGCGCGCTATGAAAAAAAAAAAAAAAAGAAAAACACGCCCCAGCACAAACAAAGCAATTTGCTTTGATTGTAGCTTGAATCGCGTTATTTGGACCAACAATAGCTACACTCACAGAAGCTCCTACGAGTAGCTGCCCTGCGCAACACTCAAAACACGAATCATTAGTCCTCACCCAGTCAACTGAAGAAATCAGTAGGGCGAGCTGTAGCATTTTCAAATTGTCATGCAGTTTACTTGCAAAAAAAAAAAAAGAGACAGATTAGTTTTTTTTTTTTCTTTACTGAAATTTTATTTCTATGGTGTTATTTTGTGCAAGTACGTCAATCGAAAGACAATTGGGTTGTTTTGGGGAAACTTAAAATTTAGGTTAGTATTGTACTTTTCATAAGGGCGAAACACCAGCCAATTTTTGGCTCAATAACCGAAAAAAAAAAATGATCCGAGGGCACTGTAAGGCAAGTTGCAACACACGCGAAGAGGCTTCTGG